TACCACGATCAAGGTCCAGAAACGTAGCAAGGAGATAGGTAAAATAATCCATGTGACATCAGGCGTTCAACCGTAATTTTACGAAGCTACGAGAATACTTTTTGTACGCAAAGAAAACAAAAATAACGACTTTTGAGTAAACAACGTAGAAAACGTATCCTGTCAGCGTGGAATAAAGTCGTTATTTTTGTTTTCTTTGCGTACAAAAAGTATTCGCGTAGCTTCGTAAAATTACGGTTGAACCCCTGATGTCACATGGATTATTTTACCGATCTCCTTGCTATGTTTCTGGACCTTGATCGTGGTAATTACATTGCTGTTTATGGGAGGGTCAGAGAGCTCTCAGAATGCATAAAAAAAATATCTTAATTTGTGTTCCGAAGACGAACGGAGGTCTTATGGGTTTCAGAACGACATGAGGGTGAGTAATTAATGGCAGAATTTTTTTCACCATTTTTGGGTGAACTAACCCTTTAATGTAATTTTAGTCAAATTCTCTTAAATTTACAGGGGGTTTTTTTTGTAAGTGAAAAACAAATCATCTTTTAAGATATTTTTTAAAAATATCTATATTTTAAGATATATTTTTTTAAATATATTTTTTGTTTTGTGTAAAGCATCTTGAGGTTTGCACTTTAATCTTGTTGTAAATTTTGTGGTATTCTGACTCCCATTCTGATAATTTACAGTGAAAAAACATATATTCCCAGAATTCACATTTGATGGTTTTTCACATAAGTAACCGTTTCGGTCTTTGTTTTTTCTTATCAGTTATGCACATTATGGTTTATGTCACAATGTATGTCATTAAATTAATGGTTGCATTATTTTTGTGTTATATGTGTTACCATGATGGTGTTTAGTAGTTGTGTGTATGACACTGTGTGAATCTGTTATATATTACTAGTTACCTCAGGTTTTGCAAAAGCAATGTGTGATGAGCTTTGATTCATCACGTGGCTGTCATTAGCATGTGTGTTTTTGATGGTTGTCAATGTGTATTATAAAGATAAAAAAAGAGATTTTAGTACTTCAATAGGTTGGTAAAATGTAAAAAAAAAAAAAAAAAAAACTAAAATGTTGCTACTGTATTTTTTACGGTGAAGTTCTGGCAACCACAGCTGCAGTTTTTTAACTCTGTATGTTACCCCATAGATTTTTTATATACAACATATAATTTAATGTGTCTAATTAGTGACTATACATTAAACCCACATGAGATGTGAGCAGGTGTCTGTTTATTCCACAGAAGTTTGCAACCTCAAAGGATGCATGAGCAAAATAAAGATGAGCCATTGAGGATGGCTCTACAGAAATGAGTAACAGCACAGGCACGCAGCACAGACTGGGGAAAATAAACGGCAAAGCTTGGCTGCAACTCACTTGCATGTCTGACAGACTTTGCACTCGGGGCACTGCCAGCCTGTCCTCTTCAGAGGAGTGACGCTGATGTCCAGACACATGCCGTGGTAGTGCAACCCACAGCTGGTGCAAAAAAGCTGGTCCAGAAGATCCCCGGGGCTGTCGCACAATATACAGTTCGCCTCTTCTTCAACTGAGAGAAAGAAAGATGAGCGGAAAATCAACGTGAACCTCATTTACCATTTAAATCCAAGGTCCTAGTGTACTTGTGAACTATTAGAGCACATTATGCCCACTTTACATGACCTAATCCAATTTCCAATTACTTTTATAATTTAATTAAATAATTAATTAATTATATTAAACATCCAATTAAATATCCATTATTGATATGATAAATAAACCAATATGTACTTTGAATCCTTACTCTATAGGAATTTTTAATACAGGCATATTTTTATGTTGTCTGTTCACCAGTGAGATCCTTTGTGATTTTCAAACCAACAAAAACATCCAGAAGATTCAGATTTCTTTGACAATTAAAAAGCCAAAATAATTGTAAAAATTGTGATGAGTATCAAATAGATGCGATTGACATGCTACCAAAGTAAATGTTAGTGGTCATACACTGTGTTGTACTTTTGTTCATCAGGGATGCATAAATTGATCAAAAAAATTCTGATAAAGATATTATAAAGTCGCAAAAGATTTCAATTTTCAAAATGCTGTTCTTTTGAACATTCTATTCAGTGAATCCTGAAAAAGGTAGCACAGTTTCCACAAAAACTTTAAGCAGTTAACATTGATAATAATCAGAAATGTTTCTTGAGCAGCAAATCAGCATATTCAAATGATTTCTGAAGGCTCATGTGACACTGAAGACTGGAGTAATGATGCTGACAATTCAGCTTTGATCACAGGAATCAATTACATTCGTAAATATAATAAAGTAGAAAGCAGTGATTTTAAATTCTAATACTATTTCACAATAAGAGAGTTTTACAGCATTTTTATTAAAAAGAAGTCTCTTCAATGTCTCTTTTGAACTTTCCAATGATAAATTTATAAATTTAATTGGAATTCATTGTTTTTGTGGCTCTTTTTAAACAGGGGTCTGGAGTCTGACAGTTTTTATAGTACCTCAAGGTCTCGCTTTGAAAGAGTGCATAAAAAGACCAAAAAATAAAGACGGTTCTCACATTTGCTGACGGCCAGCTCAATGTGCTCTGTGCACAGAACAGAGCGCCTCCTGAAGTCCTGAAAGGTGCCGGCGGCCCCCGCGCAGGGGTAATGGTACGAGCGATCACACCCCTCCTCACAGCACTTGATGGATGCTCCAAGGCGCTTACAATATGCACAATGCTATAAAAGAAAAGAGTCACAACACAACTGATGAGACACTGACGAAGCAGACTCCAGTTTTGATGTTAAAACATGTTAAAAGAGGGCCATCAATTATTTTAAACACAGTCTATATTAACTGAAACTTCACATGCATTAACTGCTCGTCACATCATTAACATTCTAGCTTAAATATCTGGCAACTAATATTAAACCAAACAAATCTATACAATGAGACATGAAAGCTGACAGTGTAATGCCTGTGGTCAGACTAACAGCTAGGGAGAGCTGTGACATAAACCACAATGATGACAGACTGACGGTTGTGTAATTATCCCATCATGCCTGTAATCTCCCACAGACCACAGACGAGAGGGCCAATTCACGAAACAGTATCTCAGCACCATGTATTGAAATGAAGTCATCGTCATCTAGATGTGCAGTAAGTCAAGTGCACTTTCTGCGTATGAAAGAGCAGAGTCAGGTGTGTGAATGAGAATGATGCAGTCACAGTAAAGTACAGCAGATTACAGTAATCTGCTGCATTCTCCATAGAAATGTGCTCAGAATCGGCTTGCAACCTGGGAACTGCGCTGTGCAACACTAATTTGGGGGTGTGGGGTCTTTGTGGAGGCTTTTATACAGATTTCCATAATTCCTTTAGTGAACTGGGAGTTAAAACAACTCAGACAGAATGTACAAATGAACAATGTTATCAGCAATTCATCTCTAGTCCATACTTATCAAACTCTTATCATATTTAAAGTCTTACCATACTTCAAAGTAAATGTACATTTTCATTTCATTTCAACTATCCCTTACATCATACTTTTCAACAATCATGTTCTCATCCTAATTTTATTTTCACCACAATTTTCATCAAACCCTCAGCATTAGTGTTTTCATAATACTGGTACTTCTGATATTATACCTCGAAAAAATATCAATATTTAATACCACAGGGAAACAAGTGCCACAAAATTAAGGCCATACAATTTGAATAGTATCATGGTTACTTTACTTTTCACCATTTTCAAGGTATTTTCTTAACAACTGAAATTCTGCTGTCTGAAATTCTTCATACCTTATAGCTCTTAGTGGGATCATATAATAATAATAATTTTCTTATTAATGATTATTTCTAAGAGAAATATATGAATATTAAATTACAACTGCTCAGTAAAATCTAAATGTATTATTTCATCTTATTATGTTACTAGTAAGTAGTGAAATATACAATACTTATGACTTTATTTCAAGAGTTAAATATTCAAGCTTTTATTATGGCAGTAAAAAGTGCAGTGAGACATTTGTGTCTGTGATAAGACTAAAAAAATTCTCATTACAAATCTGCAAATGCCGTAATCATCTGTTAAACATTAACAGTAATATGACATAATTCTTTAATATATAAAACAGTTCAGAGTTGAATTTCTACAAAAACAAAAAACTAAGATGAATACGACCAGTGTTGTTATTATTTACTAAAACTATTTAAATAGTTTTGTTAACGGATATTAATACAATAAAATATAAAAATTAGATGAAAAACTTAAATTTAAATTAGAAATGCTAACTGAAACAAACATGTTGAAGATGAAGTACTAAAATCATTAAAACTACAAATAGAAATAAAATAATAATAATAAAGCAAAACAAAAATGTCCAAAAAAAAAAAAAGATTGGACTGTGAAAATAAAATTTAACTGGTGCATACTGTGTTCCCAAACGGACACGCAGAGATAGAGTTCACTGTATTTATTGTTAACAGAGCTGTTCTGAAATGCTGAAATCACTGGATCTTGATCTGGTTGCATGTGAGAACACAGTGACGCGCTTCACTCTAAAACACTCTGAAGCACAATGAACTATAATGTAAACACACTGCAGTAGACCTGGGCGATTTGGCAAAAAATTTAAATCTCGATTTTTTTTCAGAATGTTTGACCGATTCTTGATTTTTAAAAAAAGATTTTTAACTAGTCAACTTAAAAATGCAAACTTTTTTCTTTATTAACCCTCTATTTTGTAGCATTTGGACCAATCAGACACACAATTGTTCATTCGATTTAACAAATCAATTATTCATTAGATTAACAAACAATCACAAACACCCTCACCCAACACCAGACTCGGTGCCTATATGTCTGTGAATGACATCCAGGCCCATGGTTACTATGGCAACCAGGACACCTCAGCCAGATCAGATAAACTTTACGACCTAAAAGTATGTCGAGAGAATCTTCCCTCCTACTTAATCCTCTCAAACAGACACATGCTGCTATAGGAAATGACTTCTTACATTAATTAATAAGACAACATTTTCTATCATGCATATCCCCAGGTCATTGTGTATGATTACTACCTTCTTGTATATGGTTTTGTGTATTGCAAATGTTTTATGCATGCTTATGATAGATCAACCTCACAGTATTTACTTATTTTACGTATTTTCATGATCTAAATGAGAATGCATATTATATGCTGATACCTATGCAACACATCAGTATTATAAGAATCTTGAAGAATTGATTACATAATCTTTCGAACCTGTGCTACTAGTTAGACGATTCCTAATAAATATCCAGGGACAGCAAAAGCGTGTAATTCTTCACGCATCTCAGCTCTACAGTGGCATTTCATTAACAGAGTAACAAAGACATGACAGGTTTTTCCGTGGGTCAGGTGATCTAAGTGTACTCTTCCCTAATGTTAGGTTCCATTTGGCATAAAATATAACTGTAACCCATAGCAGCTTCCTGAAAACACGCAAGTATTTCCCTCCGAACACCAGCACTAGGCCAGTGTTCCTTTTTCTATTCGAATCGATCTGCGTCTCTGTCCATCGTCCTGCTTAATGAGCTGCTCAGAAAGCAGCTGTCCGCTAAAAGTCAAGCAACACCGTGAGACGAGTCCAGACGTGACACACCGTCAGCCCTCATGTTTACAGCTGCTCTCCGCATCTTGTTTCGCACCTACAGCAAATGGATTGCGTGAAGCCAGCGGTCAAATGGAGCGCCGCGTGATTTAGGCACATCCATCTAAGGGTGATTCCACTCAACCTGATGAGCCACTTACATGAACGTTCAATTCACACACACGTATTTCTTCAGCTCTGAACTGGCATTTACTATTAAATGCAGCATTGCTGTTAATTCACGAGATCAAATGGCAGAGCGCCATTAAGGAATGTGATTGGAGAGGGTCGCTGCACGGGGGGAGTTAAGTGATGAAGCCGATGACGCCGCAGCCCCTTTGAGTGCCGTAACCTTTTCTATTTCACAGCTGATCAGCGGCGACCTTTAGCAGCCAGTTAGATTCCTCCTCCAGCTCTAGCCTTTCACAGAAACACAGCAGCATGGCCATACGAGTCAGCAGGTATATGAAGAGCCCCACAACCCTATCAGGTGTCATTAGAGGGATATTAAACAAGATATAAACCAAAAATTAGGCCTGCGCAGATTTAAAGGGGTCATATGATGCTGCTAAAAAGAACATTATTAATGAGGTCAAATGTATTTCATTTGTTAAAAGATTTTTAACCTGTCGCTATCTCCCTTACCTCATATGTAGCACAATATTTTGTTTAGATAACTTCCTATCATTGTATATTAGTGCAATTCCGTGTGGAATTATGTACTTGTATTTTTTGTATTTAATTTTTTCTTCTTCTTCCTGTATTTGTAAAAGATGCTTTGCTTTTGTTTTTAGGTTGACTTTTTAACATTCTGTCAAAGGTCTACACATGAAAAAAATACCCTTTTTGGCTAATTCTGGCATATTTACAGCCATGTTTATTCATGTGCATTGCCCCTATAAACAAAAAAAAACTACTTTTTTTTTTTTACTAGACTAGATCTAGACTATTAGACTAGATTATCCAAAAATAGTAATTATGACATAATTATATAATATATAAAACAGTTTAATTTAACTCAGTTAACTGTTTAAAATGATTAAAACAAACAAACAAGAAACAAAAACAAATGAAAAGCATTAACATTTAAAAAACATTAAATCAATAATATTATAATGAAAAATACAAAGATAAAAGCTAATTTTATAAATATTAAAGGGGTGGTTGACTGTTTTTTTTCTAGGATTGATTGTGTTTATGGGGTGCAGTCTAACATGTGTTAATGCTTCGTTTGTTAAAAAA